GAATTTCTTTTAGAATATTCATAAACTGCTATTATGCAATTATTTTAGAATTGTTCTTATAAGGTTTATGTTTTACATGCATTTAGAATCTTTGCTTGTAATGTATATGTTATTAAAGTTTCATCCCCTGTCGTTGAGACTCACTGAGTACAATGGATGGTACTGACGTTCTCTTTTGGGAACCTACGTTGGTCTGCGGTACAACGTAGGAACCGATTTTGCAGGCGAGCAGGTTACGGGTTAGGACTTCCCTCACTTCCAGTGCTATTNTAGTGAGCTCCGCTTTTGTTCGTGGAGTACTCTTTAGTGTCATCTTTATTTAGCTATTTCTTTGTTTACTTAGAGAACTGGCCAGGAAATCTCATGTCCTGAGCAGTGCGTCAGTTTATCAGTAGAGGCTTCATAGACACAGTCGGTGGGTTAAGATTCAGATGTTTTTGATAATAACTTAGCAGTATTTCAGTAGTTACTACGAATAAAGTTTTGGAGTTGATTTATTTTAAATATTTAAATTAATCAAAAGTATTTGGTTAAAGTATTGCCTTGTTGCATATAAAGTTTGAAGTTATAATAGATTTGATAAGCACAGATGGTTCGCTCGGTCATGTTTAGTAATCGGGTGTCGGTCACGGCTTGTTCAAAAAATGGGTCGTGTCATTATGTATAACAAAACAACAATCATCTAAATGCCAAAAAAAATTATTACATTAGCATAATACATGAATTTAAAATAAAAGGACATCATCAAAACTTACACAAACGATCAATTTTGTTAAGTTAGTTAGAATTATATATTATAGTTTAAAAGTATTTAATGTGATGGTATCTTAACGAACACTTCTTTGTGGACAATATTTTTTTGTGTATGTTTCCTCCTAGTATGTTGGTTGCTCTGCCTTAACCATAATTCTTGTTGTCGATCTTGATATCCTTCTTGAAAGTGCAACATACAGTTGTTCGTGCAAGAAAATATATTGCGAAAAATATAGTCCGATATTTAGGATGTTTGTCCTTATGCTTTATTTATGAGTGCAAAACATAAACATACTAAAAGTTATTTTCACACAAATTTGAAAGGATATTCCTTAGTTTCTGAAGACGAAAGTTGAATTCAGGGATAAGAATATGCTTAGAAGCATATTAACTAGTATCATAATTTTTGTATTATGACGTTATTGTCAAAACTTCTATATACTATATGTGTGCTATTACATAAGCTTTCAACGTATCTAAGTTTTTTAGTAGCATGACGAACATATTTTTTCTTCAAGATTAACGTATATACAATGGAAGATCAATTTTAACTTAGTCTATTATATATACAGCGACAATAACATACGTAAGAAATAAGAAACTTGACAACAAACATGTATGGTAGAAGACCATTTGGCATTAAAGTATTTAAGTATTCTTCTTTGTAGTAATTATTGGTATCATTTTCTGCTGAGTCAAAAACTGAAAAATATTTTGTTTTTACTATAAAATTTTGCAATCAACCTTTTATTTAGTTGATCAATATATTCATTTCTACTAGATAAGATATCTTTTTTAATTCTATCATGCGATTTGCACAAAATCTAATGATATAGATATTTCTCTTATTAAATGCACTTCTATTACCGTTGGGATTGATAACCAAGTGTTTAGGAAGAACAAAATCATATTTTATTAGATGCTCTTCTTCGTTTCCGACACGAACCAAGAAGACACTGAATACTGGATCTGTTCTTACTTTATATTTCTTGTCAGTTAAATCTTTTTCGTTTGAGGCCAGAAGTATAACTTTGGCAAAATAGCTTTTAAAGTCTCGGCTTTTGTTGATTTTGGAACTACTGGTACTACTTGACAGAAATCACCTCCCAAACCATTAATTTTTCACCAAACGGTTCATTAATATCCAATATATCTCTAGACCTCCGGGCAATTATTTCGATCATTTGACACTTAGCCATAAATGCTTCATCCCATATTATCAATTTTGTTTTCCTTATAAATTTAGCACAATTGCTTTGCTTTGATATATTTGTGATGGCTATTTAAGTTGTTTGAAGAGGTATATCAAATCTAAAGTGGGTGGTCTCACAATAAAATCGTTGTTGGTACACCACTTGCCACTATTGCTAACAGTGTCATGCCTCTTGATATGATATCTGCAAGTAATTCATGACATTAAAATATTATTTTGATTCCGCCGGAGGCATCTACAAAGAATAATTTTATTATACCAGAGTCGACTCTTTATAATATAGTCTTGAAAGCTTGTTCTTGTTTAGGATTTAGCTTTGATTGTGCTTCCTCGGACACTTGTATTGCATTTTGATTTTATAATATACTAATCTTTTTTACTTTGTATTTTAACGCTCTTTTTATGGAATAAATTTATATACCCTAAGATTTTTTTTTTTAACTTGAATAAGAATTTTACTCATATGATGAATTTAAGAAATAATTGAATTGGATTCTTTTGCTAAATAATTAATTAAAATATTTAATTATTTAGTTTTAACATAAAAAATAATTTATTCTATGTTGATTCAGATCTTAATATTAGTTCATCTCTTATTTTGAATATTTAATCTTAACTATAATTTTATCCACCATAAATTTTATTTCAAAGAGTAAAAGATTGATATGACATTTCACTTTTAGATCTTTATGTTTGTAGAATCATTAGTGGTATTGACTCTTACCAACCTTTTTTTTCTTTTTCTCACACATTTATATTTTTAAATATTTTCTTATTTTATTTTTTAATACTTGGGTATTTTTTTAATACTACACGAAAAATTAATTAAAAATATTATATGAGTAGAAAAATAATTCAAATATAAAATAAAATATATTATGGTGGAGGTATTTTTTTCTCAATTTCAACTCTTTATGCAGTCTATTTAATATTACTTTTATTTTTTCTTCGTATTGGACATTATGTAGTGGTAATGTATTGCCAATACGAAGGATTCTTATGAAATTAATTTTATTAAACCTTCCTACATATTTTTAATGAGAATTTAATAGACAATTTTATTAATTTAAAATCTTAAATATTAAAAATTAGCATAGAAGGTATTATAGTCCAAAAAATAGGTTATTGCACTTATGTCCTTTCCCTGTGAGTTCTTCCGTTTAATATTTTAGGGCTATTTTGATATATTAATATTGTATTTATAATTTTATAATAATGTAGGCTCTCATTTTTTTCTAAATGGATTTGCACAATATAATACATTCTCAAATTAAATTAGTAATAGGACATTATAATACGTTTTCAAATTAAATTAGTAATAGGAATTTTTAAGAAGTATATCCTAAAAATAATAGGATTACATGACAAAAGATATTTACTTGTTCAATTTTAAATGAATTAGGCAGCCCGAGAATAATTATACTAATAGGATTCATAATGTGTAGTATTATATCCTAAAACTAATAGGATTATATAGCTAATATTTAGAATTCCGGCTATATCTTTTTTTATGAGTTATTATGCTTAATATTATAAGGTTATTTTTGTAAACCGACATTGTATTCATGCATTTAATATATATATATATATATATATATATATATATATATATATATATATACATAGAGAGAGAGAGAGCACTACATCATATAACACTATATATTTTTCTTTGAAATATGTTCTAGCGTGTTGGATGCTGATACTTAGACTTGATCTCTCACACATTAAAACTTAATAATATCTTGTTAGTTANATAAATTGGATAAAAACTTAAATAATAGATTTGAGAATTAAACAAATATGAGCGATCCCACCATCTAGAATTAGGTACTATTTACGTTATTCTAATATTCTGACTGATGTTCATAATTACCGGAATAATTTCTAGCATTCACCTAATTAAGTTAAACCCAAGCAAGCTTATGATATTTATTTATCATAACATCCAAAATGTATATTTCTTCATAAACACCAAACAATCACCTGCCATGATCTAACTTTTGTTGGAAGTTCAAAAGTCACTCGCACCACTCATTCCAACAACAACGACACTACTGTGATGAAATAAAACAAGGACACTAGCACTGATTAGACTTGCAAGAAATTGAGTAAGATATGAAAGTATTCTATTTTTTTCAAGTTTATACAATATAAATCCAAATTGCCTTTACTTATTATCATATATAGCCATATAGGTGAGCAGCGAAGGTTGTTATGAAATCATTTGAAGGAAAAAAAAAAGCCAATTGAAGTTCAATTATTTTAGCAATTTTGTGAAGGGTGAATTAAGCTTCCTTTTATTGCAACATACATATTTGTAACCCCAAAAAAAAGGGGAAAAAGAAAAACAATAAAGTTCCCCTCTAAGATCAGAAACTCAGGAAGTAAGAACGAGGAATACATAACCTTGAAACTTCTTTAAGGCCCACAAGGACCACCCAAGATAATGACCAATTCACTTCTCTCTCAACAAAATGAATTGGATAATGTGATTCAAATCAGAGGTTCAAAAACCTCTTCTATTGCATTCTTCTCATAGTCACTAAAATCTTTTGGTCTCCACACTTGACTTCCTAACCTAAACTGGTGCAAATTTCAAAGAATGATACATCTAAAAGCTATTCACTCCTCTTTAAAACCTACACAACAAGCTCCTATTAACAGAACATGCTACTTTAGGAGGAAAAAGCCTTTCATTTCCTTGTGCAATTCAAGAAAATCAGATTCAGATGGTAAAGGAGATACCCGCCAGCAAGAATTGCTTGCCACAATTGTTCTGCTTCAAACCCAAAAAGTTCGTTTAACTGAATACATAGATGAGAGATCTGCCTATCTAACACAGTTTGCTGAAGAAGCCAATTGTGAGATGGAACAGATTGGTGAAAATGCCATCAAAGAACTGGATGAAGCTGGTGCAAGGGTCTGTTGTCAAAGCCACCGCATGTGCAATGCATATAAAATGTAGAATTTGAACTTATTTTCTGAATAACACAGCTCTTTATTTGTTTTTGTGGAGCAGATAATGGAAAATATAGAGAACCAGATGCAAGCTTTTGAAGAATCAGTAGGGTTGAACAAAGAGGAGGCAGAAGAGAATGAAAAGAAGTTAGCAGATTTTGAAGGCCAAATGGAGGAGGAAAGAAATGAAGGGCTTTTCTTTAAGAACTTAAGGGAAAGACGACCCGTGGACAAAACAAAAGCTAAGGATGAGATAGAGAAGATTAAGCAACTTAGTAGAGAAAGTGCTGGGTCAAAGACTAGAAAAACTATTTACTTTGCACTTATAGGCCTTGTAGTAGTTGGGATTGCAGATGTTTTCATCTCTTCATTGAGAAAAGGTGCAGTTCTTGGGATTATTTTGGTGTGTTTGCTTTCTCAAGTCATCTATGAGCAGAGTTTTTATCAGAAACCAAACTGGAGAGAAAACAGACATCGGAAGAATGAAAAAAGTGAAATCCTCTCTGTTTTGCTTCCTACTTATTTTCCCAAAAAAAACACTATCAGAGAGTACTGTAGCATGAGTTATAACCCCGAAATAAAATCTTATTACTCGAGGCTGATATATCATGCAAAATTTTATCTTGCATCATGCATGTTTCGTGACAACACTGCAGCCACCAAAAATTGGATGCGTATCTGATGCTTTATATCGATTCAAACGAATGATGCCTGCTGAAGTGCAGAGAATATTGAAGTCGTAGGACCTCAGAAGTTGGATCTCCTGCATTTCTTTAGTAATGATGCTTGCTGAAGTATAGAGAATAATGAAGTTTGTAGGACCTCAGAAGTTGGATCTCCTGCATTTCTTTAGTAATTAGTGTTGACAATGAAAAATATGGTAGATATGATCTGGAGAAGCACACCCAAGTCTAAGAGGAACTAGGTTCTATTGATGGAAAGATTTTTTTTGTAAAGGTAACAGTCTATTGATGGAAAGATTCTTACCCCATTAAAGACACTCAGGGTACATCAATCAAGTGAAAAAACTTCAGAAGAGAATACATTCGTCTTTAGGGAAACAAAAATAATCAGCTCCCTAGCATTCACGGAACATAGAAATGCCATTCGATGATCAAGTCGTCTAGAACTTTATATGACAGATACTGTTTTGATTTTCCTAATTATGCAGTTGGTAAAAGAAATCCAAAGACAATTGCAGTACCTTAACCATTAATTATCATATGCCATTCACATGAAAAGTCCAACTCTCTTAATGAAATTTTTGTGTTCCCTTTACTATACCTCTCCTAACTACAGAATTAGATAAAATAATATCTGGCACACTTTCCCACAAAAAGCAGCAGTAAGCCTATTAGAAGGAAAGAGGAATTATAGTCAAGATTCAATATCACATGAGAGCATAAAATCTGGTGCCCTGACGTGACTTGGTGACCATGTCTTTAAACTCCACTCTTTCAGAGAAATTCTCAAACACCTGAAAATTGCAAGGATATTCTATCGAACTTGTATAAGAAACAGAATCTAGGAGTATTCTAGGAAACAGGAAGCACACAACAGAAACCCATGCATGATAGTTACATTATGACTCTGACCAGATATAGCTCACTTGCAAATGACATAATCACCTGAGATGAAAGGAGAGTTCCCTGAAATCATAAACCAGGAACCATGGTATTGTCAGACAAATTGGCTGTCCTAGTAAGCATAAAAATGGCAACCCTGCAACCATGAAATAATGTTTCTCTCACTACATAAAAAGCTCAAAAACAATCTTAAAAGAAAGCAACCTATGTTAATAAAGAATGAGAAAATTCAAACCTGAAAGTTTCTTACTTGAAAAACATCATCTTATAGCTGAAATAAGTATGTTCCATGTAATCCATGCAACCACATTTGGCGTGATTTCCTAGTCAGAGCAATATTCAAGAATAAATTGGCATCTGACAATCCGCAGCACGTACTTCAAAAAATCATGTAAGAGCTCAACCATAGAGATAACTGCTCTGAAAAGTATATACCATCTACTTGTAGTTGGAAAAGATCTTCCTGCTAAGGGCATCATTTAAGAGTAATATTGTAAGAACGATATCTGGCTGAAGACTGCCACTTAAAATGAGAGGTGAAACTCCTTAAGCTTTTGCAATCTCTAGATTTATTAAACCACTCCATAAGGGTGTGATGATTGACAAGATTTGGGTTACAGTCCCAACAGCTCATGTTCAAAAAAGATATAAAACACACCCAAGTTTGCCATCAGAGCAAAGCACATGAATTATAATGTTAACAACCATGATCATATCGGGTTTGTAAGGTTGCTAACAACTTGGCTCAACAAATTGAGGATCCAATAACGAGATATATCTGATCATGTCTGGCTTCATCGGTTCATCCCTTTCTGCGGCATGACCTTTACAATCACCAAATCTTTCAGATTTGCATAATAGTCTATTAGCATATTGTAGGTGACCACAAAGGATGAGCAATTCTTAGTGTTCATTTCACCAGAAAATTTTATTGCATCCTCAATTTTAGATGCTTGAATAAACCATCAATTAGGTCATTGTAAGCTGAGAATCTAGTTTATTTCACCGTTTTGATATCAAATCCAGGATGCAATTGCTTCATCTAACCTTCCTTCACTGCCTAATCCACAAATGATAGATGAATTGCAAAAGAATCCATTTCTACTCCATTTTCATATCTCAACAAAGTCAAAGCCTTTTTCAGATACCCATTCTCAGACAACCCGTGAATTAAACTTCCAAAAGATGTGGAATTAGGTACAGAACCATTCTCGGTCAAGAGCTTCAAAGTGAAGCTCCCTCAAACCACCATTTGATTTTCAAACCAACCTCTCATTAATATTGTAATTACTATGACTACTACAGACTTTCCTTCCAATCAGCTCCCGCAACTCAGAACACTTTCTAATCTTCCCAACCTTACAACAGCCATTGACTGACCACTATATACCACAACATCAAGTGAATTCAATCTTCTTGTTTGGGGTTGAGTATGGATTTCCTTTCAATCGCATTAACATAGCCAGTCCACACAACAAATGAATCAAGGAACTACAAGCAAACACATCCATCCTCTTTTTTCTATCCTATCTCAAAAGCTCCAATTCCTCGTTAAATTTGCCAAAACGACATAAACCACTGATTATCTCATTTTAGAAACCAATTGGCAACACATTTGACCCCCTTATCAACCGCTACCAAATCTCGTTAGTTCTTTAAGAATCACTATTTTTGAAAATCCCATCAATTAGAACACTGAAGCAGGTCACTTCCGAACGCAACGCTCTGTCAAACATATCATCAAACACCTCTAGAGCTTCATTTAAATGGGCATGCAAAAGAACTTCAAGTTACTCTCTCACATCCACTCCAACAACTGTTTCACCGTACGAAATTGGCTCCTTTTAACTACAACTTTAATTAAGACGTATTAAGTTTCCAAATTGGGAGACACAAGTATTTGAAGAACAACTCAGCTCTACTCTAACTCATTTGAGACCGGACCAAATTGCCTCCGTTGCTTACATGTTTTTCACTACATGTTATACTTACACTATTCTTGCCTATTAAAGTTAAATCTTTTCAAGTGATTCACTTGTCCACCTATTAAACTTTGGAGAGTTTGGACGAGTTATGTTAAAATGGAGATACTTAACATCTTTACGAGAAATCAAACATTTTGGTTAGGAAAGAAAAGATAGTTTGCCTGCAGCTTAACAAATCACCAAATACTCCCCTTGTTTCATTTCATGTGACAATATTATCTACGGCAAAGGCCAAATATATCCTTTTACTTTCGAAAATGGTTTAAGAATACCTCTCGTTATATTATTGGGTCATCTATACCCCTTCCGTCATACTTTAAAACAAATATACTATTATTTTGAATGGACTGCCACGTGGCAGCATCAGATGAAAACGATCCATTTCTTTTTTTTTTACCCGATCCGTTTTAAAAAACTGACCACCCGACCCATTTTAAAATTCAGTTTTTTTAAAGCATATATTTTGCAAAAACTGGAAATTATTTTTTGTAAAAACTGGAAAAAAAAAAATTGCAAAATATATATTTTTAAGTTTTTTCAGTTTTTTTAAAATTTTTTTTTTAAAAGCTGGAAAAAAAAAATTTGTAAAAACTGAAAAAAAAAAAAAAAAATCTTCTAAAGCAATGGACTACATATGCATTAGTTTAAAAAAAAGAAAATATTTTGCAAAATTTTTTTTTTTCTTCAGTTTTTACAAAAGAAATACTTTTAAAATCTGAAAAAACTGAAAAATATATATTTTATAAATTCCTTTTTTTTTCTTTCAGTTTTTACAAAAAATATTTTTTTTTCAGTTTTTACAAAAAAAATAATTTAAAAAAACTGAAAAAACTTAAAAATATATATTTTGCAAATTCCCTTTTTTTCAGTTTTTACAAAATATATAATTTAAAAAAACTGAAAAACTTAATTTTAAAACGGGTCGGGTGGTTAGTTTTTTAAAACGGATGGGGTAAAAAAAAAAAGAAATTGGTCGTTTTTCATCTGGTGCTGCCATGTGGCACTCCATCCAAAATAATGGTATATTTATTCCAAAGTATGACGGGAGGGGTATAAATAACCCAATAGTATAACGAGGGGTATTCTTAGACTATTTTCGAAAGTACAAGGATATATTCGGCCCTTTGCCGTATTATTTAAGCTCCTAAGTCCCTCAGAGACATTTCTATTTTAAATTTTGTGTTCAATCAAATAACATCAGATGAGCAAGAAACATAAACAGAATTTGACTTACCTCTGCTAGCTATGAAATAAATACTCCATTTATCTCAATTTATTTGACGGTCTTTCCTTTTAACTTGTCTCTAAAACAGACTGAAATATTTATCCGTTTAGAAACAATCTTTATACATTTTATTTTACCTGTGATGAGATAATTTATTGCTACAAACCTATTTATAGCTTGTTTTACACCATAAATTTTAAAAGTTATTCTTTTTTTAAAAAAAATTCTATGTCTAATCGCGATGATGAAAGTAATAAATAGGTGTAGCTACATAAAGCACTTGTAATGGAGTCCTAGTAAAAATAAAAAATCAAGGAAAATAGCAGTAAAGATTTCGACCCCATCTACAACATCGCTAGTGGCTGGTGGAAAAAGGGAGCAAATCCCTAATGTTTTCAAGAAAATCTTTGCCAGCCATTTCCACTAAAGAGGAGGTTTTATTTAATGGGTAGAAAAGTCGACCTGCCATAGGATTTCGAGCCTCTTCTGTTACATCTTTTTCTCCATTTTTTTTATCTTTCCTTCCTATTGAATTGTATGAGAAAGGCATGTTAAAGATTTGTTCTTTAATTTTGTCACTTTTTGACTATGGCTAGCATATTTTGATCATTGAACCTTTTAACCAAGAGAATATTTGGAGATGGAGGGCTTGATTACGTTGATTTCCCATTTAGATGAGTAAAACACCTCACTACTTGAGATATAATCATTACTTTGTCCATTTATGTTCTCTGAAAAATAAACATAAGAGCTGATGAAATTACTATATATCGTATACTTTAATTTCAAAATGATTACACTGAAAATCCCTTTAAAATTATATCCATTCACGGACTGTACAATTCTTTTTTTATGTTTATTTTTACTCAGATTATATGAACTTCTGAGAGCATAATCGTTACTAACCCAAATAAAGGACTGTGGTAAGTACAGCCAACGCACCATAATATGAATCTTTGAAGGAACTTTCTGAGATTGAAGCTTTTAGATTATATACATTCTGTAACTTTTTTTTTTTCTGATACAGACTAAACATGTACCAACAGAATATCCATAACAGTGGTATCTCGAGGATATCATACCTTCCATCAGCATAGGTATCAAATATTTATATTCGCCAAAGCTTAGGTAGATGAAAATAAATAACCTTAAGTATTTTGTCTCGATTGAAATTTGAACCTTGGTCTGGTACAATTTTTATCAATTGATAACTAAGCCACACCTGTAGCCTATAGCTGCATAGT